TGTAAATGCTTCTCCACGGTACTCGATACAACGCAGAGATTACTTCATGGATGTCGCCTACCCGCTATTTACGATCGCAAGAACTATAAAGCCACGCGAATCGTTACACGCTCCTTTTGCGAACGACTTGTCTCGCTTTTGCCTGTCGTCGCTTCTAATGCGTGAGCTATTTCACTTCTTTGTATTCACTGCGCTAAAATAAGAACGAGAAATATACCGTTGATCAAGATTTTTTTCATATATTATCTCTAGCATGAAATAATCCCCATGAATAATATATTTATATTAAATTATTAATAATGCAATATTATCGCGCGTATTTTTATTTAATTTCTTTTTGTGTTTTGAAAGACCTGAAGAATAAGTGGCTCCAAAAGATTAATGAATAGGATCTAATGTATTATTTCAAATATTATCTTATGAACTTATTCAACTGCTTATAAAAATTAATATATTTTATGACATTCTTACATGGAAAGAAATTTTTCACACAGTCTGCTATTATAGTCACTTTTAAACTCTACATATAATATTCGAATCACGTTTCAATGTTACGTGCTCTTTCGTATCCTCAAGTAAACCCATTAAAGGAAAAGGAGAAGGTTCCAATCCTCACTCAAAATTCTATAATATATGTATAAGTTGAATATAAACATATTGTTAAGTCGAAATAATTGTTAATTTCTTTTACTATAAATATTTTAAGAAAATGTAATCTCATATAAAAACGTTTTTAATTGCTACGAAAATTTTGTTTTGTAAAAAAATATTTTCGGCGAATCTTTGGAAGCTCTATTTTTCCTAAAAATATATTTCAGTTGATCTGTTATTCTGTGTTTATCTGTTATTATTATTCTGTGTTTTGTATACCGAATGAGTATTGACAGCAACGTAAATAAAATAAATTAGCACATTTATTCACGTTGAAGAAGGTTGAAGTAAATTGCGGGTAAAAGTAATGGGATGAGTCGGCTGCTAATTACCGACAGCAACATATTAGCAAGAAGCTTCTGCAAAATTCGTGACTAAAGGAAAAAGGGTGACGAAAAAACGGGAGGAACTCGCGCGAGTTTTTTTTTTTCATCCTCTCCGATATATTTCATCGGACCACAATCGTGGTATTTCGTTGTACCGACATACATCTCGCGCCATTCCCTTTAAGCCATTTCCTAAATAACGTTCGATGAAGTCCTTAGATGCGTCGCTACGCATAATATCTATTATTTACAAGCTAATAAAATCGCGCCTCACAAAACTCGAACGTATAAATAAGTGGTGAGGAAAAAAAAACGCGGCCCCTCACAGCGATTATGGTAATAATTTATAAATTTAGCACATTAATGTCAAAAGAATTTCCATATGGATAATTCTCCTTTTTGTACATAAATATATACGACTTAAAAATTATACAACTAAATATAATCTAATTTGGATATAAAGTCATATTTATAATATGAAATCAATTTTTAGAAAATTTAATAGATGTAATATATATTATATAATTGTGTATGGTTATATCGCACAAAGCCAGTCTTTAGAAAATTTAATATATATAATATATATTATATATAATTATGGTTATCACGAACAAACCCAGTCGCCCGTGCACTAATTTCATTAAATATTATCGCGTGTTATTAATCGATAGCATGTGTACGATAAAAAATTTCTTTATAAACGTTTCCTATTTTAATTTTTAATAAATATTCACGAAATGAAATTTAATAAATATTCGAAAACTATAGAATTTTTCATAAATCCATCATTATATATATTTTTTAAATTAACATAATAAATATAATATACGATAAACGTTGAAACTGTATTTCAGCATCAGAAATTTTAATGTTACATAATAATATTGTATAAAATTGTATTTTATAAAATGAGCATTAATTATTTTTCAATGATATCAATTAATATGTTAGTTCTATGATTTTTAAGTCGTATTAATTATTTTTCAATGATATCAATTAATATCGTTTATTTTCAGATGAACCATTTTCGAAAATAGTAATAATTACAATTTTTTATCATGCTCTTTTAAATAATAAAATACTGTAAAAAAATAATTATATTTTTATAAAAATATCAAAGAATTAGAATAAAATTGTAATAGAAATTTGCAAGGCAATTTCTAATTGCGTATTTTGAAAAAAAATACAGGATGTTTGCCAGCCCTTTAATTTGAGCATGTAAATTTTCTGAGAAATACATCAACTTTAAATTTATTAGCCTTGGGGTAGAAAAAATAAGGAAGGAAAAACTGGTCCGAAGTCTTGTCGACAACGTCGCAGAATCCGCTTCTTATGGGCTCAACCATCCATAAATGAAAAGCGTTACGCGGACGGGAGTAAGTGTCAAGGAAGACGGTAATAGTACATTAAACGGCAATTAAAAGTGAGCCTATTACCGTGACTAACGGAGCGTGAAATACTTGAAATCGTTTACGAAATTACTCTGTCTGTGAACGTTGGAACGTCTGCTATTACATACGGAACTATGTATGTACGGAATTCATGCAGTACGAATATAATCAATGACTCGATACTTTATTACCAAGCGCAATTATCTCATCGAGGTAGAAAAAAATAATTGTCTCTTCCGGTTGAAAAAGTTTACTTTGACCTTTTAATACTGAATTACCGATAATTCAGTGCCCACATATACGGATTTTAATAAAACAATTGCAGTTATCGAGATCCATCGATCAATAGTTAAAAATTCAATAATTTGCATGTAAAAGGAAATTTATTGGGCAAAAGCTAAAAATTCAAAATATCGATCTGTCCATGAAAAATGATATTGATAAATGTGTTTGAAATATAATTTAAAATTCAATAAAAAATATTGTAAAATACTGTAAAATTATTTGGGAGCTTATTTAAATTAATTTAATTTCCAATAATTGATATATAATTAATCTACAATATATATAAATTGCAAAATTGATTTGTGCATTATAATACTGCATCACATTTATCTATTCATGAACGAAAATATACAAGGCTACACTAAAATATGTAAACATCATACATAGCAACATTTTAAAAACCGCTAAAGTTCGATATTTTATGACGGTAAAAGTCTTGGCGGAGTTTGGACGATTTGAGAAGCTCTCGTGAACTTAACTCGCACGAGCCAATGGACCTGTCACCACTTGTTGAATGTTTATGAAGAAGAACAGAAGTTGAAAGTATACTTGAATCGATCAATCACAAATTTCGAGTGGAGAGATTAAACATTTAATTTCTTATTATCGTATACCTTGAGAATTCTTTCGACTGAATTGCTGATAAAGCGAGTGATAAGATTGCGAGACAAAATTATACGTAATTATTATATAATATTATTATTTATTAAAATATTAGTAATAAACAATATATTTATAAAACATATAATAATGAAATTATTTAAGCAATATTCAATAAAATCCCGGTAAGATAATTCAAGGAATTATTATCTGTAGATAGATGATAAGATCTATAGATTGTAAAGTGCATATTCAACGAAACTTATAACGTGATTTATGATTCAAGAATTTCAACTTTTGTTTCTTCAAAAATTTTACAATCTTGAAGAGCTAATAAGAGTACATGTAAATATAATACACATTATGTAAGTTAAACGTTTGTAATACAAGTGATGTGTGTGACAGAAAAAAAAATTTCAACTGAGAAACATTTCTGGAATATTATAAAATCCTACAATTATTGTATCATTCTAAATTTTTTATCATACTTTTATCAGCTCTTCGAGCGCGATAAAAGTGGCGCGCTTTATTTTCTCTTTGAACGTTACGTATAACCAAATGTAAACGTACCTTTTAAAATATCCGCGAAGAGAAGGAGGAAGAACAGCGCGCATAATTGGCGGTGGCTCCTTCGTGCCATGTTGTCCCACGACGAAGCACAGGATGCACAAAAGTCAATTGTAGACGCGCACTAAGAATACGAGGAAACACGAGAATCCCGCTGTAACACACATATTCAAGATACGATCAATGTACAAACGCAAAAACATGTCTCGATTACGTATACTTGTCGGAGCAATGTCAACATTCGTGCGTGTGTACGCGCGCGTATTTCTTACATGAGTAAAATAACTCGCGGTTTTATCCGCGAATTCTTCTCGACAATCCTCCTTCCTGTCCTTGTCACAATCCACGAAGATGTATCCAGTCAAACAACGGGATCACTGCGATATTAACTGCATTAATGACGCACGAATTAATCACGTAACGAAATAGCGCGAAACAGAGTCGTCCTTTCTCGATCGTTCAAACATCGTTCAAGATACACGAGTGAAGCACGGCGAATCAAGGATACGTTTGACACGCGAACTTATTTACGAACGTCTCATCGCGACACGATCCGTGATAACAGTTCGATGGCGTTCGATCACAACGAGTTTGACTCTTAACCTTGTCTAATTCAGAAACCGGCGTCTCTCGCGACGCAAAACACGCGTGCCACTATCACGCACGTCCTTCGGTACACACGAACAACGCAACGCACCACTCCAAGTGTCGCGCGACACTGCCGGCGCGCCGCTTACTTCACGCGATTTCATCCTCACTCGGGAGACGCTCGCGCATGCGCAACGTGACGCGTGCGCGACGTTTGAAGTTTCTGCGCCCCCCCCAAGAATTCTAACGAGTTATTAACATTTGAAGCGCTTAAATTAATATCGTAATTTTCCCTACTTCGTTTTATGAAGTTGGGAAATCATCCCGGAAATTTAACATTATTTTTTTTTACTTAACTAATGCCAGAACTATTTTTAATTTTACTAAGGAACTCTAAAACTCTAGAATTCTTAGAGATGCATTCAGAACTGTAACAAAAAATTGTATACTATATATAAAAATGCATAAAAATTGTAGAAACTGTTAGATTTTGTTTGTTTATTGATTGAAATATTGTTAAAATTAAATGGTATATCTTAAATCAAGTGCGATTAATGCCTTCATATGTATGCAAAACTTGAAGTTAATGCTACTATCTTGACTTGGCTGGACTATCGGAATAGGTGGTCGAGCCTTCAGAACTATAGCAAACACTATGCTGTGGATAAAATTCGTGATTACACAAAAATCACATATATACAAATTAAATCGTTATTTACTATAAGAGTTAAACTTCATTAAATTTTTACGGCTTTTATAGTTATTAATGTTTCAAAATATATATTCAAAATTATATTTAAAATACATTTATTCATATTGAATACACATGAATAAATACAATCATAATCACTTACTTTGTAAGGTGTACGACTTCTGGATGTTCCCGATGGTGAAGCCGAAGTTGATTTAGTGTATTTCTTTCGCCTGTTAATCAAGAATATATGTTGAAATAAAATCACATTCTCAGAATAACATATACTTAATGTGTTAGGATTAATGTAATATGATTGCAAAACTATATTTTATCTAATATTTTTAATAAGAAACATATTGTTGTAATATAATATAATAAAAAAAGATATGTATATACTTACGGATAAATTCTGCTGCTGTTATTGAGACTGTCTTTGCTGTTGTTGTAACTGATTGCGGCTAAGCAACGCTCCTCATCCACATGTTCTTGACATCCCCCTGGGCATCGTCCAAATCTATTTCTCCACCATTCTTTCAATTTTTCAAGCACACCCTTCCGCAATGATTTCGAGGAGCATGTATCCGGCTGGCAATAATCCGTATTCTCATATAGAACTGCAAATCTAAAAAGAAAAGAACAGATCAAATGTCATTATCAAGTATTTGATCTTTTACAAAAAAATGTACTTTTATTGAATACTCAAAATTTAATTAGTAACTTTTCTATTATACCTTAAAACTAATATGTCATTGATATAATATTTTAATATTATATTAATAATTTTATAAGTTTAAGAAAAGTGTAAAAATTAATTTGAAAATAATTTATGAAAAGTTAATTTTTTACAATAGAAATATAGATTAAATTGTAATATGTAATTAATTATTACTATCGTAATGTTTAATTAAATTAATTGTGCTATTAAATAAGTTGTTTATAATTTACTATAAAGATTGAAAATTAAAGAATAAAAAATTTTATTGAGAAGAATTTAAAAAATGATAAATGGTAAATAAAAAATAAAAAATAAATCATAATAAATTATTAATTACTATTTTAAAAATATAATTAGAAAAACATAACAAATGTTAATTTCAACTTACGGAGTAGTTTTCGAATCGCAAGGTGGGCATTCCTGGGATTGTTTGGTGAGGAATCTATAGCACACCAAGCATAAACCCACCAGTAACCATACTAGTAATGCAACTACTACCGCTGTAATCACGATTTCCGTAGTGCCAAGTGTCATTAGTTTGTCATTGCCTACATTCAATTGGTATAAACTTAATTAGTTTTTAATAATTAAAAATTACTATTACACAAAAATTAAAATACTACTAAATAAACTAAGTAAATTAAACAATTAGAGAAACTAAATTAAATTAAATGGTGCGAAAAAATTTTATCGCATGTTATATCATGAATAATTTACTTTGTTCCTTTCCTTTGTAAAATATGCTCTCGTCTGCCTGATTCGCACCTACTTTGGGCATAACTTGGTAAGTCCCGCTTGTTCTGCTCCTCATAATACCATCTCCTATACCTGAAATAAAACATCAAGTTTATAAGAAATATTCCATAAAGTTATTTAAGAAACGAGACGCAGACATTTTTTTCTAATAGACTGCACATTTTAATATTCTGAGAAATTTTATTTAAATATTATAAAATTATTTAAAATAATTTTTGTGTATATTTTCTATATGATTTTATAATGATAAAATAAAGTATAAAGCATTTTTTATGTAAAATTATACATGTACAATAAGAAAATTAGATGAAGTTTACAAGGTCTTGGGATCTTTTGGTCCCCGAAATGCATTAAAAATTTGAAATATGTGGGTACACATTTATATTTTATTCTTCTTTGAAATGCATGATGAAGTTGTATATGAATTACAAATTGGTCAAAGAAATATTACAGAAGCTACAATTTTCTTAGCTATGCAAACTCTTAAACGGAATAGTATATCGGTTCATTAATTTTCAAACACGACAAATTACAGGCAACGAGACGGTTATGAAATATTACCCGATTCTCGCAAGGTGGCCATTACTCTGAAAACACCCCCAAATGCTGGATACCACTTTTCATCGTCCAGGTGTCGACGCACCTGAAATACAAACGGTACTTTTATTTACTCTCCGTCGGGGATTGGAATTAATTTCAAGCAACCGCGTCAGCATTTAGGAAATGGAAAATTCTCAGTGAAAGATTAAGAAAGTAAGTATGATGTTTTTTTTAGCATAAAAACTGCAGCACTTTTTCAGATGTTTCGTGATTCATACCATCATAAATTAAATTCAAATATTTTTTATTTTTTATTTCATAATTTATATCATTAAAAAACGTAGTAATTCATACGGATTGTTGCAGCCAGGTGTGGAAGTCTTTGTTGAATCTTTGCAACTGCGTTCTCGTATTTGATCGGGATATAATGCACTTCACGCTAGCGATATAGTACTTTACGAGAGCGAAAGCCGACTTTTCCGAATACAATGATTGCAAGCTGTCAGTTTTAAAGGGCAGTGCGATGCTAGATAGAGAATTTGTATAAGAATCTTTAAGGTTTTTTTTAATCGACGAAGCATTCTTACAAATTGGTACTCAATAACTACCTATTGGGATCTATTTCGTTATCGAGGAATGGAAGTGGTATGATAATTTCGCTCGTCGCAGCTTCGTTATTATAGTCTTGCAAAATTAATAAAATCTTATATTTGCATAATATTCTCAAGAAATGGCAAAAATATTTCTAATTTTTATTCTTACGTTAACCATATGCTGAAATAGTATACTAATATTAGTTTAAAGTTCTCGATTTGTTTTTTCTCTCACCATCAAGTGCACGTCTAGAATGCCCTCGCTTCACCATAGACCGTTTCTTTTTTCTGAACGTGAAGCTTTGATAATCGTTGACGACAGCTATTTATTTAAAAAAAAAAACAAATTATTAGAATCCTTTAATAACCATGAATATCGAAATATATTTTAATTTTCTATGATCTCAAATCAAAATAAACTCGACACATATGAGAATTATATATTTTTCTAAACAATGAAACACTTATAAACTGTATTTTTCTCTTTCTTGAAAAATTACAAAGGACAAAAATTATTTCTTTATTATTTATACAATCAAATTTAAAATGATATTCAATTTATATTCATTTTTAAAAATTTCTTTGGATCATGATAGATTAACAATACTTACGTGCCGAATACATAATAAGTCCATTACAGGCAATCGATGTTTTCGGTGGTGTAATTATGATGGGAGGAATCCTGACATTTTCAATTTTCTGACTAGGCTTCGACCAGCCGGCTCCATTTGTTCGAAGGAAGATCTTCAACTCATCGAAGAGTTCAAACAGCATCTTCGCGTTGCGATACTTGATATTCCCTGCGTAATACGAGCGCCTTGTGATAGGCAGGATGTAAACTCGCAAATAACCGCCCAGAGTATCTGCCAGAGCTTTCAACATCAGATGCTTCGTTTTGCCCACGGACAACCTTTGCACACTCTCGAGACATATGTGAATATAATCCATGAGATGCGCTATGTATTGATCGTTTTGGGAATCGATGACTTTCACCTGACAAAAGAAAAATTTCAATTTCTATGGGATTCTTTTCATTCATTTAGATATTTACTCTTTTAATTATCTTAAAATTTTTGAATTATAATGATAAAGTATTTTATTTGATATTACATGATAATTTATAAAGTAGTTAATAAAAGAATTTTTTTAGAAAGAACTCTCAACAAATTTACCTGGGGCAAAATGTCTTGAAACATCCTTCGACTGTTAAGAATAGCAAATTCTTCATTGGTCCAGCACTGCTTTCCATAATCATTTCTCTCAAATAAAACGGTGCCGATATTGTGATTAAAAGATTTAGCATCGATTATCCTGTCACGAAATAAGAAATAAGAATAATAAATGCATTGAAAATTTAAATTCATAAAATGTAACGCGTTTGATTTTTATGTGCATGTTGTATCTTTAACTTGATAAATCTTAATTTAAAAAAAATTTATTCATTATTTATCTAATTATTGATAATATTAATATTGCAAAAAATTAACAAATTAATATATTAAATATTAAATATAAAGAAAATCTTTTTAATTTTTTATATACATATCTAATAAAATATGATATGTATCTAATATCCAAACCAACCTTTTATTGAAGATGCAACCTACAAATATCAAGAGAAACAAGAAGGAACATATACTCATACTCTGAAATAAAAATTCCAAATATTCAACCACGTGGTTTTTTTCGCGGATTTCTTGAATATTTGTCACATAATGACTTGTCCATTATTTTATTACGACATTACTACGTCTATCAAGCATATTACTTCATAGTGTTTATTTATGCAATACTTCAGTATACTAATAATAAAATAAATATTAACTTTAAGCATAATTTCTCATTCTATGCAAAATGCTAAATTTTAATTACGTATAAAAATTTCGTTTAATTTAGAATCTAGAAATAATATTTCTTAACAGCGTTATACAATGATGAGAATTGAATAAATGTATCTTATATATAAAATATAAAATATACATTTAACTGTCGCGATAACAAATCCACTTAATTCTAAGGAAAAGTATAATTAATAATTTATGTTCAATATATAAAATATATACATGATTTTATCAAAAAAGTTGTAGTCATGCAATCATAATAATGAAAATATTTAACATAAAATATTTAATATAAACATTTTTTTCTTTTTATTATGGTTACTTAGTTATGAGCTATAATTTAATGTAACAAAATTAAAAGAAAAAAATTAATATATAGGATGCATTTTCTCTCTTCTTGAAACGTTTATATTTATAAGCGTTATTTTATATTGTTTCATTTAATTTTTAAACATTTCAAAACTGGTAAAGTTTTATCATATCCTATTTGGTACAATCTTCAAAAGTTATGCCACTATTACGGTGTCTAATTTAATCAAACAAAAAACGCATATTAGCATTTACGTTTTCTTTACTTTTTACACTACAATACTAGCAACGTTACTTCTTTTTTACCTTAAATAAATATTTATTAGTAATACTTATTTCTGTTAATATTTTTTAGTGTTTAGAGTCAAAATAATTGAAATAAATCTTACAAACTTTTTAAGAGGATATGATTGTCCAAAGTTGAATGTATCTTTAATATCAATATTAATCAAAATGGTCAAAATAAATATTATGATAAGAGGATATTGATGATTATAATCCTTATTTGTCGTTTTTATTCATCATTTTTCTTCGTCATCTTTATTCGCCACGATATTATAAAATTCATTGCAATATCAATGCAATGAGTATTTATTTAGGCTGGCCTCCTTTTTTTTCTTTTTTTTATATAATATTTTATTTTTGACATTGGATTTTTGTTACATGTGTAATGATTACAACTATTTCAATAAGTAAGTATTAGATACATTATACAATCTTTATAGTAGTTTTTAAAATTACCGACTTTTCACGTCGAGAGAGAGCAACGGTAAATCTTATTTAGAAATTGTTTTCAAATTACATCTGAATGACCGAATAAAGTCAAAATAATGAAACCGCGCGATTAAACACTTTCAACATTTATCTCTCGCTCTCTCTTTCTCATCGTTGCAAAATATTTGCAATCTGTACAACAAATCGTGCTTTTGGAAAATATGATTGCATTTTTTTAATCTTCTTGTATTAACAAAATTCATGGAAAATTTTCTGCGATTTTAGAAACTAATATAGAAATGGCTAAAAAATTCTATTGCAATTTTTATAGAAAATTTATTAACAAAATCAAATCATCAATAAGATCGACGATTACGAAACTCAATAAAAGAACGGCAATTTTTTTTCCGCTCTAACAACTTTAATGAATAAAATTCTGAATGATTTTTTATTATAATATCTAGAATATCTAAGAATTGTTTTAAAAATAGATACACGCAGATGGTAAAAGATTATTTTGAGAAAATCTAGAAATGAATTTTTTCCTGTAAGATTTTAAATAATTTAATACAAGAATTATATAGTATAATCGGTTGAAAAATTATGTGTTAGGTGCTTTCATTTTACATAAAAATCGTAATTGTAAGAATTTGATTTCTTCCGTATTGAGTTTCACCACACCTTCTTGATTGTCAATCGAAAGTAAAGTGCCTACGGCTTCGCGATCTTCTCCTAGAATTACTTTGACTCGATCGCCACGCGATGGTACTACAGGTTCTAGTTGCTCGCATCCTAGATTAACAACTCGGTCTTCGGTAGGTAAATAAACAGTACACATACCGCCCTATAAACATCAAAAATAAACATGTTATTTTTAAAAATCAGTGAAGCGTGTGTGTAAATCAATATTAATATCGCGATAATTAAAATCTAAATTTTTATATATATGTTTAAAATAGACAGAATTACATACAGAAATTCCTCGAATGACAGCTTGCTGTCCAGCAAGTGCAGGATCATCATGAGAATCGCGGATGCGTACTTCGATATCTGTCGTATGCCAATCTGAACCACTTATGCTAGAACCGACACCTGTATCCAATCCAGAACCAGGTGTTTGTGGATTATAAGGACTACCTGCCACTCCTACAACCATTACAAATTATGTTATACACACAAAAAATATTATCTGTATCTATTAAGATTCCTTTGTTATCGTCACATTACTTACCAGGTGTCATAGGACTGTAACTCATCGGAGATGGTGTTGCGAAAGCTCCGTGAGGACTGGTAGTATATCCAGTGCCACTTGGGGATGGAGTAGCTACATAACCTGCAGGACTTGGACTTGCGGTAGCGCTGCCTGCAGGACTAGGACTTGGTTGATATGAACTGAAACTTTGTTCCGAACCATACATAGTACCCGGAGTTTGTGGAGTAAATGGTCCTCCAGTAGGCGGATATCCAGGTGCATAGCCAGGTGAACCACCTTCTTCCATACTATAACCGTCAAAATCATTCGTTCTAGCGGGTGTATTAGTAACTGCCGGGTCCCAAGCTCCTGACTGTCCTGGAGTTCGCGAACCATCGTGAGATGGCGTCATCGAACCATAATGGGGAGTGCGAGAACCGTCTGTAACATTAAAATTAAACAAATTTTAAATTATTCCAAGTAAAAAAAAATTATGTGATACACGGTTACTCACTTTCGTACATAGGTGTTTGAGAGCCATGCATAGGCGTCTTCGATCCATCTCTCGCATACATCGGTGTTTGCCCACCAGCTCCGTAGGCTGGAGTTCTGTTGTAACTGCTAAAACCTCCGTCCTTTGTCGGAACACCAACATTCGCTATGTGAGATCGATCGACAGAAATCGTTTGGCAAGTAGAGTGCAGCTCCACGCGCGCCGTTGTCTCCGTCGCATCCTTTACAATACCCACGTTTCCCTTGTATGGTCCACCAGTTATCTTAATAGTTGTTCCAATTAATTCCCTATCGCGTCTGGCACCACTACCGCCACCGCGACCTCTGCCTCTTCCACCTCCACCACCTCGACCAAAGCCGCCTCTGTAAGAAATCGATATTAAAGAAATAAAATTTTAAAATAAAAATAAATCTCGAATTTAACAAAACAGAATAAGAATAAGAGACTGACCCGCTGGGATGTATCGGAGAAGCAATTCTAGGTGACATAAATCCTGCCACTGGTGACATAGAATTTATAGAATTTGTCTTATTGCCACCAGACAGTTGTAAATGTCTGGTCTTGCACACAAATATACCGCCATTGTCGACAAACATTCGCGAGTGTAGAAAAGCAAAACTCCTATATAAGTGTTTAATTTCACCACCTCGACCTGCATGCGGTCCATCAACCACTTTAACAATATCCTTCTTTTGTATGGTGTTTTGTTGAGAGTCCAAAGCAACCGCATTCTTATTCTCTCGACGCTTCGTAAGACCTTGTGGTCTCGCTTCGACTACTTTCCCATGCATAGAAAGTACGTGGAAATTCTCACGTTCCAACCGCACGATAACGCCGACTGTTTGCGTGTCAAGTTGTACCAAATCACCCCATTGAAATTGTCCTAAGCTATCGACACCAGTTGCCATGTCGGAACATAACTGCAAATCCCTTGGAAGGACTTCAAGTTCATGCATTGATAAATCAGAGAACAAAACTACTCGATTTTGTTCCACTCTGACGATTAAACCTGTATCACCTTCATATCTCCCGGCTACGACCTATAGATTAATAGAAACAACATTGTAATATAATATTGTAAAAGAAAAATTTCTATTTTAATATAAATCTAAATAACATTGCAGACATTTTACCTTTACGTGATCGCCCTGTGTGAAGTATTTTCGTAATTCTGAAGCTTGAAATTCCAAAGCTTCTTTAAGTTCTTCATGCTTTGGCATAACCATAATCATATTTCCGTCTATGGAAACGATTTTTCCTTGTAGATTTATCAATTCACCTTCACACACTTCTACATTATCTCCATTACTAAAAGAATGAGCTAAAGCTTGATCTTCTTTTCCAGAAACTCCAGTTCCTGGTGCACCACTTAAATCTATTTCAACACCTTCTGGGGCTTCTTCAAATCTCTCTAATTCAGAAAGTGTAGGTTTAACACCTTCTGCGATAATAGCACTTGTGGTGAAATTCTTATAAAGAAAGCTGTACAAAATAAATAATCACAATAAAAAACTATACACACAAGAATAAAATATATATTATAAAATACAGCAGCAAAACAAACCCTTTACGACTGTATCTATTTCCTTCAAAAATCAGAAAATCTCCATCGCTAGTAACCTCTCCGCCAATAGCACGAATTGCTTCAGGATCAAACGGTTTTGCTGGTGGTCTCCTTTTCTTTTTACGTTTCAAAGCTTCAGATTCGCTCTGTGCTGTTCTCAATGCACCGCGCGGTCTAGTGTAATCTATTCTTGGCAATAATTTTAAGTGAACTTGATTTTGTGCTAAGTCGACATAATCGACTTGAGCTATGTCGTCTTTATAAATGCCTCGTTTTAAACGGACCCATTGTTTAGCTTTTAAACCAGTCTGCTCTTTAACAACTCGCAGCACATCAGTCATCTCTTTAATCGGTACCATTTGTTGCTTCCATATACCCATTCTGAGGTTTCCAACATTTTCAATAGCAGCTTTTACATGCGGCTGTTTGTAAGCCTCTATATAAATATAACCCTTAACACCTTCTGGAGCAACAACAGATTTTATTTGGAGAGGTTCACCTAAAATTTTTAAGAAATAAAGAAATATTTACGATAATATATAATGACAATACGAGATTCAATTTCTTTAAAATTTATATCTTACCTGAAAATTGATACGTAATAAATTTTCGCATCAATAAGAGTACAGTAGATTTTTCTTCTCCTATACGGCATTTTACCATCCACAAATTAGGATCTTTTACACCAGGCAACAGAGTTTGCTGAGTAATTTCATCACTCATTTCTTCACCACCATCACCAAAATGACGAGCAGCAATCGATTCGTCAGCATACTTTTTTCTGAGGTATTCTTCAATTTCATCTTCTTTCTGTGAACTAATAAAAAATATATTTGTTGAAAATTTAATTACTTTATATTTAATATCTCTCTTCATAAAATTTTAATACTTACTCCCATAAATTTGTACCTCTACGTCGTCCTTCAATCTCACGTGCAGTTGGTCCCAATTCATCTACTTCGTTTCCTACAATACCAATTTCTTGGGCACCTTCTTCCCAGTCATCATCATCTTCAACTTCATCATCTACTTCAGCTTCATCTATGATAAAACCACCAAATCTATCTTTTTTCTTCTTTTTCCTTGGTCTATCATCATCTTCTTCTTCTTCTTCCTCATCATATTCACTGCTATTCAAGTCTTCTCCTGTAAACATAAAATATAGAAAAAAATGTAAAAAATTTTATTATTAAAATTTGTGAAGAAAATTATAAACAAAAATTTCCTATAGTATCTTTCTAATATAAGTTTTCTGATTTATACCTTCAGGTTCCTCTTCTGGTTCCACAGTTTCTTCATCTCCTGATCTAACTTCCTCTGCTTCGTCTGCCTTTGTATCTCCATCCTCTGATCTACAAATAAAATAAATATTACACATAATTATAACAAAATATATTTCAATGTAATCTATATATGTATATACACATAGAACAGAATTCACATTTAAAATAAGATAAACTAATTTGAATATACTTAAGAAATATTTACTTGGGAATATTATAAAAATCTGTGCATATACAATATATATATTACGTATGCAAGTACAATCCGAAATTTGAAATTTTTATTTACCCAGATGGTGATCGGGAACGTGAACGGGACCTAGACGGACTCCTAGATCCCGAACTCCGCGAAGGGCTTCCAGCATCGCTTCCACCTGCATAAATTTAATTGTACATTTTTTGGCATTAAATATCATCCTGTTATCACTTTTGTTGTTAATTATTACCTGAATCCGACATTTCGAACACAAAACAAAATCTCCAAGTAAAGTTAGAGAATTAATGGCATGGAGTTATACCATAGACATATATGTTATATGTTATATATGCTACGAATATATAAGTATAGTGGCGCTCCTAACGAAAATTTCCCGAACTCTAAAGGAATGTTACTCATTAGGTATAGTAGTGTCGATTCTGGTTTGGACTAGAGAGAAGACTGAAAGATGTCATGGCTTTGTAGTTCATATCTACGTTTTCAATGTCTATAGAGGGAGTATCGCTTTCAAGAATCACCTAAAAGCAGGACATCTCTCAATCTTCTCTCTTCTCTTTGGATATTTTCGATTTAAACGCATCTTATCTACATATTCACGCTTATTCATGATTATTAAGTGTCAATAATTCTGACAGCTGACAGCTGTTTAACAGCTGTTTAACAGTCATGATTCATGAATGTCAATGTCCTGACTTGAAAATGTATTGTGCATGCTATCTTAAGTAGAATTACTTTGATAGAATTATTTAGAATAGTTTTTTTAAAATTCTTTGATATTTCTTTATATATTTTCTTTTAATTTTATTATATATATAAATTATGTATATTTGTAATTAATTTTATTATTAGACTTACAAATTCAATATCTGCATTTTATTATAAAAGATAAAATATAATAGAGAGAAAAGTAATAGAAATAATAGATTTTTTTTATAAGCAGCATTTTTTCTATTACATATATTTAAAAAAAAATAGATTTATATAAATATAAATAAATAATTTATTCCCATATATTATAAAGTTAAAAAACTAAGAATGGCTAACAAAATAAAATTTGTGAAATATAGATCTATCAAACGCTGGTAAATTACCTAGGTAACAAATAAACAAGATCATGATTAGTAGAGTATTACTCATATTTTTCGAATACGTTTACATAAACCTGTCGTTCAACTTCGACATGTCTGATATCACGGAAAATCTTCTCGCGCAATATTATGGATTGTCTAAAAAATCGGAAACCGAAAAATTTGTATCAATTCATGATTGCGTGAACAATGCGGGGAACATTGAGAAATTGATTGGCGAACAATCGACCGTGGATACGAATGACAATGATACGTCTGGGGAAACGGAAGTGCAGGTGCAAGTGCGAAATTTAATACAATTTGTCTTTTAAAAATAAATCAATTAATTAAATAAATTAATGATACCTTCCTAGGAAGACATTAAGGACGAAAACAAAAATGCCGAAATTGACATTCCGGTGAGATCCTCCCGAGCATTAGAATGGGAAGCATTAGAAGATGATGAAAAAACGTCGTCTGAATTCGATATTATTTTCGAAGCAAATACAGCGAACAATTTATGTGAAAATACGAGCGTTTCTTCCGGCAAAGACACGCAAGATCTTATCTTACACAATACCAAAACCATCACTTTAGGTAAACGAAAAAATTACTAAATTAATAATTATAATATAAATTTTTTACATATTACTTTTTTGTCGAATATATTTTAATATCATTCGTTTTATTGTGATACGCAAAAAGATCCGGAAGACAACGAGGGGAATGATTTATATCTCTCATTTAGTGAAGATGCATTGCCGGATAGCGCTTCAGATGTTTCTTCGATAACGGGAACGAAAAAAATGAAGAAATCTCCAGATACGTATGTCTCATTGACACCACCGTTAAATAAATCTCTAATATACAATGAGACTTTCGTAGATTTAACGAGCGCTGGTCTTACATCGCTTCCCATTGAAGTGATCGAGAAATATTCTACAATACAAGTATGAACACAGTAGGATTTACTAATTTTTAAAATTAGAAATGATGCAAAAATTTCTTCCAAATACTTATGAAAAAATTCTAATTATATCAATTAAGATATTCTATTCATTTTTAGATGTTATATCTAGAGAATAATAATCTTTCCGAGCTTCCTGAAGAGCTTTTCGTTTCTTTGCCACATTTGCAATGGCTGGACGTTCGAAATAATCAATTGACAAATTTATCTGCGAGTATTCGATCGCATCCTTCGCTCGAGAGTATCCTGCTACAAGGAAATAAAATCGAGAAATTACCATTAGAATTGTGTAAGCGAATAAAATGTATAATAATTATTTTATCAATTTTTATCTTTTTATTTTTTTTTAAATAACAATTGAAAATATTTTTCTTTTGTTTTTAAAATAACAATTGCGATACTATTTCACAGGTTTGGTGCCAAAACTTAAAATACTCAATATAGCACATAATCCTATTATTACACCTCCAAAAGATATTATAGCTCTTGGATGTTCGGGTATTCTCAATTATCTTCGAACTGAATGGAATAAATTGCATCCGGATGAGCCTGCAGTGTCTGTTGAGCGTAAGAATGTCGAATTTATATATTCTAATTCCCCAGCATAATATAAATTTATCAATAATAATTTTATTTAAATTAATTAATTTATTATCTTGAATAAAGCAAACTGCATAATCGCCAATGTATAAATTACAATCAAAACAAATTTATTTTAGAAAAAATTGAACCAAAATTATCAACGATTTTGTGTTATCAATCTCCTCACGAAAAGCAACGAAAATTATCAAAAATTTCGCAGCAAACATCGAAAAATACTAATGACATCGACGCTTCATTCAAGGGCATTTCGGTCAGAAAGAGGAGCAGAGCTTACAAACCTAGTAACAGGTATATCAATTCACAAATTAATACTTTTCTGGAGAATCCGATAAATGATACGCGTGTCGATGATGCAATGAGTTCTCTTTGTGCGTCATGTGCACGAAATCTTGCTGACGTCCAATACAAGAATGAGAATAACACGAAGGAAAATGAAAGTGATGATAATCAAGATAAAAGACACGATGACAACCAACACGCATTATTAAAAATGATAACTTCGTGCCATGATGTCAGCAAAATTTGCATCAAAAGAGAGATCGCTGAAGTGGATGCAAAAATCTTGCATCTAATCGGGCCATCGCCTAGATCGTGTTATATTAGACGAAATGTTACGGGGTTGATAACATATAAACGTTATCCTGGAAAGGAATGTAGAATTCAGACCATCAGTAATGAGACTAAACACATTACGCTTAGAAAATCGCGTAATTCCGAGGTATTCAATGAGGAGAAAAAAAAAAGCAGGAACACCAAACACGCGGAGTTAGTTTTCGATATTGTTACGAAAGATATGCAAAGAATGCAACTGCATCCGATGCAGCTAAAAGATTCGCACTGCATATTGTCGTGTTTGGAGAATTATCTTGGTATTAAAACCGACTAGACATCTCTGTAATTTTTGTTCAATACCTATATATATAAAATCTAAGAAGATATATAGCAAATTTTTGTCCAATACAATACAGCAAATTCCTTTAAAATTTTTCGTAAAAAAATGTATAAATTATTCTATCGTAATGATACTATTTTATTATTACATATAAAAAATATGCAATGGGCATTTTTTGCATTTAGATGCGAGAATAAAGGAACCAATATTGCTATAGAACAACGGCTGCAGTGGATTTCTAAAGCGAGAGATTTATTCAGTGCGCAATCGGCAACAATTCAAAGAATTAAGTAAGACATCTATCTAAATTATTCTCAATAATTGTAAATAGTGCATACACACGTAAATTGTATTATACGTAGGGATTCGAATACTATAAAAAAATGGAGACGCGATAAACGAAGTTTCAGTAAAAGCATGGAGAAAGTATCGAGAAGAAATGAAGGTATACAGCAATATAAAAGAAAGAAATAGTAGAATTTATAACATTTACAATCTTTGATCTTTGGAATACGAATATAAAATATAGTATCCATAGGATTATAACTCATGACATACTTATTTATTAGATGATATTCCATTCGCAATCGATATCAAAGATTATCCTACAATACGAAAACGACCACAAAAAACGGTACAATAATTTAATATAAATATTTTATCTGAGAAAAAATAATAAATTAATTTAATAAGAATAAATAATCTTCTATTATCCAATCTAGGAAAAATATGCGAGTAATCAGACATATGGAGAACTAAGATTTGCTGCACCAGAGTAAGTTAGATAAATAATAAACATTTTCAGTCATTCTTCACTATAACTTTAAACATTATATTTTAGAAATATAAATAACAAGATTAAAGAATTATTAGGGTCTTTGCAAAAATTTGAAATTACGAAATCTTCAGAAATATTGACACCTAAATCCAAACAAAAATATCTGCAAACTAAGATTAAAAAGGTACATTGTGTTATTTCGCGCGTGTTTTGCAATTAAAATTTATTAAGAAAATAATTACTATTTTTTTATTTATTTCATAGCTCTCACATTTTCAAAAGGAAGTTCAAAATCTAAGAAGATTCAACGAAATTATATCAGCACCAATGAATTCTCCGAATAATTAATCTCGATGTTTTTTCTCTTCTGATTTTTATTCGGATTTTATTTTTTGTATCTATTTACTATTTATGGAAAATTTCAAGCTCAGTATCAGTCTTGAGGTATTTATTAAATAAAACAGTATTAATCACACACGCATATTACAATATTAATTTCATGCCCAGTTTCGATAGCACTTATCAAGGCAATTGGACAGACGCATTTTCATTATTGTTAAGAAACGAAATTTTCATATATGAAAACTGTAAAATTGTATTATATTCTACAAATATATTATATCTATTATCAAAATGTATAATGCAATAAAAATATATTATTAAAAGAAATGTGTGTATTTCCAAAATACTTATAAAAATTATTGAAGTGATTTATGAGAAAATTCTCTGAACGCATTCTTTCCAATCTCCTCGCTAACGCAATCGATTCTTTTTGCTTTTATCACTATATATTCAGTATAAAAATCCTAAAAGCCATAATTACCACCCAATATATGCAAATATCTGTGCGATAGCCACAAATATTTTTTTCTTTTTGTACATGGCACTTAATCAAGCCTCATAATAAAGTTTGGAGGTATGAATTATACAGGATTTTTTTTAGGAAATTATTTCGAGAGCAATACAGTAAATTATTATTGTAATCAGTATCATCAATAGAGGCAAATAATCTATATCTATCGTGATTATTTTTTTTTTAGTTTTTAATTCTGTACATTTTTTAGTTCATATGTTCTAATGAATTTAGTTCGTATAGAAAGCTAACGGTCAACTTAGTAATATCTTAATAAAACATAACTTAATAAAGAAGTGAATTATATATATTTATATAGCGTGCATTATTGTTTCTCTTACAATATTGCATTTTCTATTTTGTATTTGTTTGTGGCATTACTTGTAATATAAAAAAAATCTTCTAATGATTAATACATTCTGTGTCAATTAATAATGTGTTTTCTCGCAAAGCGATTAAAATAAATTAAAATAAATTATAATGTATAAACGACCTGCATATTTATAATGTCGAATATGTGATTTTATATAGAAGATAACATCTATAATATTTTGTTCATATGTTCAATAATAATTGATTATGACAAAGGAATGATACTTTTTATATGTCTTATATATCTCATCACATTTTGTAATGGCATATATACATATGTATTGCACACGCAATTATAGAGCCGATAGAGATATCTAATAAAAATTATAAAATGTAAAATTATGTATAAAATCTAAAAAGCTTCCCCATAAACAATGTATATTACATGGCTGAGCAATAAACACTATGAAATATATTTTTATATAATATGCGCATTAGAATAGAATTATATATTTAAAATCTGAATTAATATATTTTTTATGTAAAATATCTGTCATATAACATTTAAGCATTTGAAAAAAAGATGTGCTTTAAAATTATATTCGATTACTTTTATATATGATTTTGATAAGAAAATAGTTTTCAATGAAAGTTTAGATAACTCATTAATGAACACACATACTGGCATTTCACACACATATCACACATATACACACATATATTCTTCTTCTTTGACTCTTTTTTCTCTATTCAGAATTTTATATACATATTATTAAAACCAATGAAAGATACTGAATTGTTATAATGTTGCAATAGACTATTAAGAAAGAATCGAATTCACATATTATGTTGAAAACGAATCTAGAGTTATTGCACTATGTATGCTTATTAATGTGTTTCTTGACATATTGTTATGATTAATGAAATATCATTATATGATATTAAAATATAATATTAATTAGCATCAATTAATTATACCATACATACAGATGTATATACTTGTATCAAACAAAAGTTTCTGAAGAGTTTGATGCCATAGAAAGATTACAAATCAGAATATTAGTGATCTGATTATAAAATACTTCTGAAAGAAGTACACTTATTTTTTTAATCTATCGGATTGGCGTGCTTACAGGTTCAACAAAGGCGCTCAATTTTATTAATAGTCTCTTAAAACTATTAATTTTAAATTATTAATTATTTCCCTAAGAAAACATCGTTTTTTTAGGAGATGGTCCAAGTAAATATACCTTGTTGACAAATATCACCGGAGCACTGATTCTTTGTTAGAAACTTCTACACATAGTCTTAATTCCAGGATATTCCTCGTGTGCCGGATTTAAATCAACAAAACCCAGTTTGCCATAAAATTCGTGGGATTCTTTATCTGTTGACGATAGCGTTGTATGTACTCCGAAAGAACCTGAAACCCATATTTATATAGTATTATATAGTACAAAATAGTATTTATAGTATTTATATAGTACAAAAAATAGAAAATATAATATCGAAGAATATTTAATTATAAATTGAAAAAAATACAAAATCTCGATTTTTAATAAAGATTGAATTTTTAAAATATATTTTATTATATTTCAATAAAGAGTTTATACCATTTGCTCTTAAAGCCGCAAGAATACAGGTTATTAAACGTTTACAAATAGACTGATCTGTTACACTTGGTAATACAGCGCAAATAAGTTTCGATGGATGTTGCCTGCACAATTGTTCTGCCACATCCGGAATAAATGAATGGAAATATTGTATGGCATCCTGCGCAAATTTTAATTCGAAAAATCATCAGTACAAAAATCAATGAATGTACAAAAATACAATACATATAAAATACAAATGCATATAAAAAATTATTAACATACCTGAACGTTTTGTGGCAACTCGTTAATGCTACTATCTAAAGGATACTTCATTCGCAATTCAGGGATCCAAGAAACAGCCATTTTCTGATTATGTGATTTTACATTTAGGGCAGCCATTGCATAACCCACTATACCGTTTTCATCTTCAACAACCATACATAACTCTGGACTCAAGGTAAGATATCCTCCAACAAGTCTAAATTATAAAAAAATATTTATTAAAATTTTTTTAGGCGAAAAATATATTATATACAGTAGAACTCTGATAAACTTTAGAAAAGTGGAAAGTTCTTAGAAAAGAAAAATTAATATATATTTCCTATTACATTACTATATCATATATTAATGTTATACCTGTCTGCGACAGCTGATGAAGTCGTACAATTATTAATTTGATTGCAAACTGCATAGATTGCTTCTTCATCGATAGATAAATATGGCCGAATTGTATATATTTTACTATTGGGCACTTCCGGTGCTTTATAGACAAATAAGTCGTTACCACTATCCACTGGAATTAATCTCTAAACACACAAATGATATATTCTTCAATGTATCTTATTCTTATGATTAACTGAACATAATACGAGAACGTACCTGTAAATCAGCTGTAAGCCCACCACGAAAAACCCATGGCTCCTGGTCTCCACTCATAAATGTTTCTTTCCAACCATTTGAAAACCCTATAGCCCAAAACACAAAATCATTTTTAATAGATCATAAAACATTTGAGTTAAATATTCGCGCGTTATGCGTAAAATTTAATTTCAATTTTGGCTTCCACTGCTTGAGCATCAATTTTGCTTAAATCTTTAACATGCGAAAATATTTGATTGGTTGTCTCTTGTATCTTTCTCCCATTTATCTTGGAATGCCTTTCTGCTGCTCATGTCAATTAAATTAAAGTATGAGAGAAAGAATGATCCATCCAATCGGACAACTGAGGTGCAGCAAGTTTCATAGATATGAAAGGATAGATGGGTAGAAAAATAAAAATTTTATAAAAATATTTGACAACATATAATATGAATAATAGTTTGAAATTGAATTGAAAGAATTGTATAATTCAAGTTTTTGAAGAAATTTTAGTTATAATAATTATCCAAAAATATATTGTTTAATTAAAGAAAGTTAACATTAGTAAATAGAGGAAAAGAATTACAGTCGTTACATGCTGCACCAAAGCTCGCGCAATGCTAAACTCTTGAAGCATTGGATCAGGGTATAGGAAAATTGGAATAATAGTCCAGTTTGCCAATATGCGCCTGAAATAAAATTCTTATCACGCCTGAAAAGAACATAGTTTCTGAAACTAAGTAAAAAATAAATTAGTGCAGGCCAAAGTTGGCAAAAGGAGAGTAATAGTTGATCATTTAAGAAAAAGTAATAGTTGATCATTTAAGAAAAAGAATAAACAGTTTTTACTGCAATACCATTGTTTGCAGTCAATAAAATATTATCATATATTAAAAGAATCGAAAGAGTATCTTTTATCGCAAATGACCAAAGATTTGTACATAGGAGATGTTCAAGAGTTTATAACTTTCTGTTTGCTAAACTGTGCCACTTCTACATAATTTTTCGATGGACCTAATTCAGAGATGCAAAAATATTAAAATTAACATGTTGAATATTATTAATTCAACTGTATACTCTGTTTCTATATAAATAAACATAAATTTGGAAAAAATTTAATATCTTTAAAATTAATTTTATATATTCATGCAAACTAACGTTAATTATTATATAAATGTGTAAGAGATAAAATATTAATAATTAAATTATATCATGAGAAGTACGTCCATCATCTATTAACACGAAAATGAATGTGCTTTTACACATTGATTTTTCGAGCTATTATAACGCCGCTTCTACGCGCATTTTCCCTAAGCTCGTTAAACGAGATCATTTTTTATAAATTCCCAAACAAAGTTTTTAGAATTAATTATCGCTACAATGTTTGGAGCTTTATTATTTCGCGCGCTTTCTGCTATGTTACTCAAAGACAGTTGAACCGCATACATGTGTAGCTGCCCTGGGTAAACGTCGTCATCGTTGATGGAAATCTGCCAAACGCTATCAACAAGACAAAAAAACACAGAAATACAAGTTAGTGAATAAATTCAAGTTATCTGATCGTGATAATTTATTTATTCTGCAAGAGCATGTTTGCCATAAAATAAACTATTTTGAGATTTAGATTTTAGATTATTTCAATTTTGTAGTAAATAATTTGGCACATAGAAAGAATAATAAACATTAAAACAAATTCCAACTTCAATTTCCAACTTCAATAATTTTAATATTGAAGGTGATTGCATAAGAAGAGGAACTTATATAAATATACATAAACATACTCCTGCTTTGTATTATCTGCAAAGAAAGTCGACTGATATGTTAATAGCTGGTTTAAGTACTTTTTAAAATTCAGCATTTTTGTTCACCTCCTTAAAGATGCTGTTGATTGCCATCTCATAAAAATCACCGTATTCGCCATTGCTACAAATGATCTTTTCGCTATAGCGCGGGAAAGCCACACCAATTTATTTCATATCTTCAATCAGATATATGTATTACCTGTGAGTTAAATTTAGATTAAGAAATTTGGAATTAAAAAACATTTTGATTTAATAAAACATTTTGAAATCTGAAACATTTCGCTAATATAAAATAAATTTTATTAAAATCAGAAGAAGAAAATAGATGTTGTGGCTTGCCTGTGATAATTGTCAAAATGAATCAGGCTATTAGTCAGAATCGTAAAACGATACAAAAGTGTTAAAAATAAAAAACAGTCAAAATTATCAACAATTTTCAAACAAATATCAATATTGTGCGTGCGTGTTTGTAACATATAATAGAATACGACAAATTCTATTCACGCATTTTTTGCGAAAAACTATCTAATATGTATAAGTATAAATTTATGTATATTAAGTGTATAATTCTGACTTACAGCAAAATTTTTCCTTCGCGCGATACAATGCATTTGTCTCTAATGCGCAGAAACAAATGCATATTATGAGTTCACGAATATACAAATTGGAGCATGTGCATTTCCGAATATTACTGATAGTAGTGTTACTAGTTATTACGCATGTTACACAAAAGAATTATATTGTATTATAATGAATATAATAAATGTAAGCAAAAAAAAAATATTTCATCAAAGTTATCATTTTTTCACATTAATTTAAAAAAAAAAGAGAGAACTAAAGATTTGAAAACTATTAGATATTCCCTAAAACAATATTACCTTTTAAATTGAAAGCAATTTGTAATTTTTTTCTTTCTATATATATAAATTCAAATATATTATAAAAAAAAACAGAAAATTATGTGGAGAGTCATATAAACCAAATAATCAGTAATTTACGGACATTAAAAAGATATGTATAGCATTCTTACAGCACAATATATCCATTTACAAGGAAATAATTTAATTATTATATTAGTTTTATAATGATATTATAACAACAAGATCATATAAATGGTTTCTAATATTTAACACTTGTAAATGGTTTTTAATATTAAATACTTGTAATAAATAATTTACATATATGTTTATCATTGCAAGATTTTAATTAAATTTTATGTAAAACTAACATTGAATAATCAGTTGCACTTTTAGAAAACAAAATAAGTATCATATAGTATATTACTAAGCATCTTAATTTCAAGATCAAATTATTCAAAAATATCATCCTTGTAAAAAGACAAATTTATATAACGAAAAATAAAATAACATTCACTTACCAATACTCAAGACACTTTTGTTCTGAAATATATAAGTATAGGTAATAAATTATAATATTCCTGAAAAAAATCGCACAAACAACAGCACTTGTCTGCAGTACGATGGATATAAATTCAGTTAACTCAAATCAAAAAGACTCATTTTTATAAGATAAATAACAATTTGTAATAAGAATTTATAATAAGATTTTTAGAAGACTAGAGCATATATACATATATTTAAAACTAGAAAAATTAATATCATAGATTTACACATGCATTTTGTACCAGCATACTAGCATTTCAAATTGACTTTCTTTAGAATAAAAATAATAGCAAAACTATATATGCGCGTTTATTAATTCTTATTATGATTCATATAGATTTCTGATATCTGACAAGATTTAATATATATATTGTGTAATAAGATAGTGTAATGTGTAAATAATAATATAAAATTTTGCAAAATTGAAAAGATTATTTTAATTACAAAAATTTAAATTTGTTCATAAATATAAACATGTTTTTAAATTTTTTAGAATTTATATCAATAATTTTTATAAATTGTCTATGCTATAATTACTTTCAATATATATATTTCCAACTATAATAATTTAATTTTATTTGCCTTTTTCTTTGTAAAGAAAATAGACTATTTCTTAGAGAGAATACTCTCTGTCTTTTTTAATTATAATTTTTACTATCATCAATATATCAGATAATGTTTCATATATGAATCAATATACAAATACAACTTACCCAGCCATTTCACGTAACTATTTAGGAGGGACACAACTCCCCTCATATCCCATACATACGCATACAGATCATATAGCAACTCGCGATTATTACAGTATGTGAGCCTTTGGAATAATCTATTTACCCCATTACACATATCGTTTAATTTAGCTGCACGAAGATGCCATTCTTCGATCTGAAAGATTAAGCAAAAAAATATATTAAAATTGTATAAGATAAAACTGTATAACTATAAAACTGAATAATAAATAAGAATAAATGACTTGCAACTTACAGCTGATTCAGACGTTGGTTCTTCGTCTTTAGATTTTTTCATAACAAGATACGCATTACTTTTTAACCAATTAAATTCTTGCAACAATTGAATTCCTTGGCCACCATGCTCAAATGGTAAATAAAATAGATCACACAAAAGTGATAGATCTTCTTGCGTGAGCTGCTTATCGATATCCACAGATTCTTGAGGTATCACATCTGTGTTATCGGAACTTTCATGATTTTCGCTATCATTTTCTATTATCATTTGTGTACCATTAACTGTGGGAGAGGTATTGTCTACTTCTACTTGCATACTTCCAGAAGCTTCACTGCATGTCTGATAAACAAAAGTTACACGATTATACATGCATAATTAAGTTTTTAAAAACTTGTAATAACTTACAGAAATATTATCTACCATAGCATCATCTTCCGTTGGAATTTTTGCTACATGCGCCGGCGAATTGTTTGGAGTTGTATTACAATCCATAGGTTCTATGGAAGATAACCCTGTTGACGGTGGGTCGCTGGTCATAGTGGATAATGTAGTCAAAATGGGTTCACTGACCACCTTTATGTCTGATACTAATGAATTCATTACAGGTCCAGATGAAGGTTGTGCGAAGCTATCGCTACATGTTACAGTTGAGCAAACTTCCGCCAATGCTTGAAGATGATTAGAATTTGTCCCAGATGTAGATGTGGCAGGAACTGTAGTTGTAGTCGTCGATGTAAGACTCATACATGTATTGACAGAGGGTATTATTGGAATAGGTATCGTAGGCGCGACACATGGTTGTGGTTTAGCTATTACACCCCAAGCTGCTTTCTTTTTATTAAATTCTAATAACCATTCGATTATTGCATTTTTCAGAGCGTGTCGAGGATGATACATATTCGGGGATAATGTCGATGGAACATCTTCACCAAGAACACCATCCTCTGTTTCGGTTTCTAATTTAATATCAGCTGATACAGTGTCATCTGCAGCATAAAATATTCTCATCAGTTTCTATATCTTTTTTATTAATATATGATTGTTAAATCATATATATAGTTTATATATATTATATATAGAGTTCTTTCTCTTAGAGAGCCTTTTTTCTTTTACATATTTTTAAACACAATATGTAAAAAACATAGCGATTAATTATATATGACTCAATCGTCTAGAGCAATAGAAAGTAAAATATTTGGTTCCCTCTAAATATTTTTTCCCATATTTTTCTTATTTAGAAGTTTATTGTAAAAGAAAGAAAATTTTATAAAATAAAACAAGACATTTTATAAAATAAAAAACATACTTAAACTTAGGTCTCTCTTTCCATCCACATTGCATCTGCTCCATTGAGCTAATGTATGAATTGCTATAAAGTTAGCTCCATATTCGCAATTAGGATTAGTTAAAACTCCTCTAAGTTTAGGAATAAGATCGGGAGAACGACCAGCATATGGTCCGAGAAACACTCTTTTCTGATCATAATCGTTAGCATGTAAATTATCCCAGATAACAGGCGGCCTCCTGAGCACTTCTGTAATTTCTTGAATGGATTCTACAGTTAAAAGTCTTGATATGACTTTAGGTCCAGTCCACATTATGTCGATTTCTTGAGCTAATTTATTTCCGAGAGTATTGAGATATTCTGAAGATGCGACATTTGGCATTGCACGGGTCGCGCAATATTGTGTAGGACATAAGAGGAAACGAGGCTGACCGAGATGTTGAAAAATATCGTTTGTGACAGAAACCTGTAAACAATAAAAAAAAAATATAAATTATTATAAAATATTAAAAATATATGTATAAAGAAGATATAAAATTATTAATTTACTAACATTAAACTTGCTGTTAGACTATGTGGATACTGTATATGTACCTGAGCATGTGCAAATGACTGAAACACTTCTTTGTCAGCTTCACTCATTTCTGGTTCTATATCGTCAAATAACAATGCAAACGCTGTACAACCAAATTGACTGACTTGTTCCAGCTTTCTTTTCAAGGCAGTGACTTCCTTTGAACTGGAATATGTGATATCTAATCCTGGGGATAATGCATAATAAAAAGTTATCCCATATTCTCTAGCAGCTGTAATCAAACCAGTCAGATGCTCCGCTTCCTCTACTGTATATAAATCTCTCCAATAAGCACGATGTTTGTAATCATCTTTTGGTGCATACAGGTAAGAATCCATTCCCCATTTTTTCAATCTGTGTGATATATATAATTCATTGATACTGATATTTTAATGATCATTCCTAATATATGAAATATAATGCCCAAATTAGAAAAATCAAAAGAACTAATGCACTTTTAAAGTAAAGGAAGATATTTTTGTGTAATCTATAATACAAAAATATAAAATATAAATTTATTACTAAAAAATAACATAATATGGTTCTCATAATAACTATGCTTCTTATTTTTTGAATAACGTATGAAAAATACATACAGAAATATGAAGAAAACTTGTAAAATTGTAATATCCCACGAAATAAATTCAAATAACAATTGGAAAACTTGTATAAAATGTTTAAAATTAAGGCCAGTGAAAGAAATATTCCAATTACAGTGCTCTCTTGACAAACATCTCATTCCCATTAATTCTCTCGCAGCATAAACATATTCCTGAGACTTACTTTTGAAAGAGATCCTTTCGTTGCTCGGTAGTCCATGGTCGACCATAGAAACCTGCAAGCAACAAAATATGCATTTAACAAAGGAATATGTCATATTATAGGAGACACGGAAATCTTTGCTCATCGTAATTCGATTCTGCCGAATCAAGCATTTCTACGAAATATATATCATAGGAGTATTTTTTCAACGATGTGTACATGCCTTCCACCACACCACAGATGAAATTGCCATTCTTCGTATTCAGATTCGCGGCCCCATTTGTCTCAGTCATTGCGGCTCGCGGGAAGTACGTTTGTTTTGGGATCAAGAAGGTAGAAAAATGGCCCGAGGTGCTCCAAATCGCGAAAAGGAGAGAGAAAGAAGGAGAGAAAATCGGAACAGTCTAGGAGAGAGGCTGCGGTTACGACACGGCGTTACGATAATAAAGTCGGGGCGAGAGTGGCGATTGACATATGTACGAATTGCTATATGTACAAAGCGCGACGCAGAAATCCCGTCGACATCACTGGGGAGCAGCTGAGATTCCGAGAAAGTACGAGAGCGCGCGCGGAAGCTCATAAATCCTAATGACAGACTGCACCCGATGCGCGCTGATCGATACCACCGAACGATCTGTCGATCCATCGAGGCCTCGAACACGGCGGGAAAAAGAGACGGTGCTCTATCTCGGCCAAGGTGTTCATCTGACAGTCGCGGAGAGAGATATTTTCGCGAAAATTGAAATCAGTTCAGATCAGTTGTGATAGTAAAGCTTATTTTAGCTCGAATGCGCCTTGTATATTTTTTTCTAAAACATGACACATTTTGTCAAAAACGTCATATTTAAATATTCTTAATATTGTTACTGTCACTTGGTTACATTATTTCGCATTGTATCGGTCAATTTAATATTACGTGACTTGATGCAAACTTTTATCTATAATTTCAATATAAAACATCTATCGAATTGTCAAAGTCGCGTTCGAAGTTCTAATTGTCAGAGTAAAGTAGATTTTTCGAACGCACTTAGGACGTGGCTTTGACGTTCAACAGGTGGTGCATCTACAAGTATACATCAATCACAGGCATAAGCGTTATACGTTCTCTTAGTACCACCAAGAGCCACGGGATGTCGCGCTGAGTATCATCTTCTTCGATTGTGACGCCATTTTCAGATATTGCGCGCGCGGTAAAGTCTCGTCAGTGTCGCGTTTTAGATATATTCTTAAAAAATAATGCGAGTAATTACATTATTGTGCTCATTTGTGTAATGTACATCATTCTTAGTGAAAGACTCACCAGCGATGCTAGAGATGATAAGAGATTCAGGTAAGCTGTGTTTATATAGATGTTATCGCGAATAAATAAGAGCGCCATTCTCTTATTGGTATTTCTATTTGATGAACTTTAATATCGTAATAAACGACAATACGACCTCCCAATTTATTTCAAAATACTACTTGAACACGGAAAATCTACATCTACTTCAAAATTAATTAAGAAAATGTGAAATATTGCCGAAAAAATAGATATTGATGTATAAAAATAATTTATTATATTTAATAAAAATACATACAAAATCAAAACGATTGTATATATTTATATAGAAAATATTGGTATGATTTTTAATGTTTGAGAGATACGTAAAAGCATATTTTCCATAAAATATTGAGAATAGAGTAAGCATTAATTTAAAGTCATCCTATATCTCCTGCAAGTAGTCAAGGTATCGTATTCGTCAGACAAGCGGAGAATCGACGTCGCGCTCGATTGAGGACATCGCTTCCGTTTCAGCCTCTCGTCCTCTTTCACTAATAAGACATAAGATGTTAAATATTCTTGTTTGAGTCTGATAAACATTTCAAGTTAAATTAAAATTTGGAAGATAATTATGAAGAGAGGAATTTGGTACATGGATAATTATGGAGAATTTGACATATCTCTTTTCTATCTTTCCCTCTCTCTCTCTCTCTTATGTTAAAAATATAAATTATTCACATATTTACAAATTTCGAATTAAAATAAAGCTGCATTTACAAATCTGTAGTAAATGGATAAATAAAATTATCGTTTATAAATTATATAAATTAAAAATTGATTTTAGATATGCTTTATATGATAATACAAACATTTATTTGTATTTGTTATTATTTATTTTAGTGTTAATATTATTATTAAAATATTTTAAATTATTTGACTTTACGTCTGATGTTATATTAGTTTGGAAAATACCTTAAAGATTATTAAATATTTATAATTTTTTTATATATTTATATATTTTTCTTATATATTTATATAATCCAATACAAAATTTCTTATTTAAAACAACAAATATACTCATGATATGTTACATTCTTTGGAAACATATATTGTACTATTAAATACGATTAAAATAGTAACTGTAAATGGAGCAAGGTTACATCGGAACGATTTCAGAACTGGGTGTACAATAATTGATTGTATTTGCAAATCGATTAGTTAAGTGGACTGTGATACATAATGTCAATATTCTTTGTAGCAGAAGAAAGAATAATATTTAAGGAGATAGTATTACATTCTATCAATGAGGTCGTGTGCATTGTGCATTGCTAACATAATTATCACAAACATATCAGATTGTACTCACTTTGAAATAAATGCATCTTTTATAAAAGCAATATTTCCCAAGTTTTATACGCGCTCTCCTAACATTTGTTTATAAGTAAAAAACTTGTAATCATCTTGTCATTCATTTTACGCAAAATAGAAATTTGGGGCATATTACATACTTTTTCGCTCAAGAAGAAGATATATAAAACGTGAAAATATTAAGAGAACGCAAGGAGGGAGAAATTTGTGCAAATTTGGCAAAAAGGACATCCTTCTGATACAGGAGTACCAGGGACCAGGCTTGAATCGCTTCCAGGTAGCGTCGTGACGCGGCGCCCAGGTCGTCGCGATGAGAGGGTGGTGATTTTTTTTTGCTCCGGACTGGAGCGAAACGACGGGGGTGGGTGATTCGAGAGGAGTGGAGAACGCACGGCCAGGCCGCTGCCGTTGTACGGCGTGTAGCCATATCGAAGGAGCAGTGCGAGGCCGGCTATCAGCCGCCCAACATCGGCGTGTCGGGGTTACACTTGTATACGTAACACGGCTGCTGCAGACGCACATACAAATCACGCACGCACATCCAGACAGATGGACAGACTGACAGACAGACAGACAGACAGATAGACAGACAAGCAGACGGATAAGCATTATATAACACCGCGAATTCCCTGCCTCCCTACGCGGGGGTTATCACTGTCTACTGCGCCGAGTTCATACATGGAAGAACGAGTAACGGGTAAAAGGAAATAGTGGACTTTCTTCCTTCGTATCGATGGAAATTGAAAAGGACGAGACCCTTCGCAAACCCGCGCAGTATGCGTCGTGATCGATAAGGGCGAACGAAGGGCTCGTGTGGACGTCACCGATTGTTTTACAGTAGGAATAATTACGTCATCGATTATTTTACAGTAATAATAATGGGAAAAGGAGTTGCTTGGCGTCCCACGATGAAATTAAAAAAATGATTGCAAGTTCCGATTTTGAAAGGGGTACGAGGGAATAGCACGCGATAGAGGACGACGATTAGAGAGAAAGTGCGATTGGGCGAGGCGAGGGAGGAAGAAGGAAATAAAACAGGCAAAAGGGGGAAGAAAAAAAGTGGAAAGAGATCGAGAAAAAGAATGTAGGAGAAGAATAAAATGTGCGAGTAAGTAAGCAAGCGGGGAAAAACCTATGTAGGAACATCGAACAAGTTAGAGGAAAAAGAAGAAGAGAAGAGTAAAAAAACGTGGGCGGTGAAGAAGAAGAAAGAGACAGAAGTCTGACAAAAGTCAAGAACGGAGGATCGAGAAAGAGAGAGAAAGAGAAGGGAGGAGAGAGAGAGAGAGAGAGAGAGAGGAAGAAGAAGGGAGAGAGAGAGAGAGAGAAAGAGAGAGGAGAGCTTGCGCGAGAGGCGAAGGAACGTGGAGGAGGACCGACCGTGGTGCCGAATGTGGCGTTCAGAGTATGATATTCGCCAGCCGGGGATCGACGTCGTGCAGCCAGTTTCCGCCCGCGCTCGATTCACGGAGTCGTCATCATCGCTGTCGGCGAGTCGCACTCTCGGTAGGCGAGATCCTCCCTCATTGAGAATCGCAGCTGTCACCCGATAAAATTTTCCCGCTGTCCACCTATCCCGTCTGTCGAGCTCATTCAAACCGAGTCATCCCCCTAGACAACGACGCCTCTCCACCAAAGACGACACGACGACGACGACGACGACGACGACGACGACGACGACGATCACGACGACGACGACGACCACGACGATCACGACGACGACAACGAAACGACGACGGTATCATAGTCACCGAACGGATTTACCTCTTGTTGAAAGTGCGACGTCGAATAATGCGCGATAACGCGGTCGTATCCACCACGACGAACCCTGCGAGTAGTCGCGACCGAGTGAGAGTGCAACGGGAAAACAGAGCAACGCGGTCGAACGCGTAACATTCGTGATCGAAGGTGAACATGTCGTCGCGTAAGAATTCGTGGTGACATTTTAAGTAACTCAAGGAGATTCTCGATATCGATGTTACCAAGTGCGCGAGAATTTCGTCGTGAAACATCAAAAAGACCCCCTTCCTTTCTCGGACATACGCAGAATTATATCCCCGGGACACCATGTTATTAATTTATTAGAGCGACAATTAATTCATCCGTCGATGCTCCACCATCATCGGTAACGAGGGAGCTATGACGAGTCTCGAAGTTCAATCCAGAGGTACTACTGGCGCGAGGAAGAGGCGGACAGCGGTCAATTGATAGGATTCGAGGATACAACAAGCTGCGTGGAAGTCGCGTCGCCTCGTCGCGGCACCAAGCGACTAACTGAGAGCGTGCGCTCCGGCGATCCTCGTTGCCGAGGGACGAGTCGTGTGTGCCGGCACACAGTCGGCGATCGGCACGGACGCAGGGAGGACGATGGCATCGCGCGCCGCGCGCTCCCCCAGGAAGCCGACACCGCGGAAGAGCTCGCGCGCGGACTCGCGCCACAACGCGGACAGTAGTACGAGTCGTTGTCACCTGGAATCAGCAGCAGCAGCAGTGATCGAGGACGGAAGCAAACAGACAGTTGCTAACGACGTAGGAACGGGATCGGTGGCTACCGTCATTCGACGTTCTCCGCGATTCAGCAGTCGCGTCGTTTGGCGGCCCGACGTCGTCGAGTGGTAGTCCTCCTTTTTCCCCGGACAAGAGAAGATAGAGAGAGAAAGAGAGAGGAATCTCGCGTATACATCGAGCGGAAAAGAGAGAGTAGGAAAATTTGTGCGGGATATAGGACCGGGAAACACACGAGCGAGGATGATCGATAACGTTGCCACCGTGTCGGAGGCCAGAATCGGCGATCGGGCTTGTTAGGAGAGGAAGACGCAGCAATCCGTCCGCAGCAGGGGAGAATAATCAGCGCGGTTCGACGCGTTCGTCGTCGTCGTCGCGGAAACCCTTGGAGAGCCTCGAAGCTTTGTCGTTGGCTTTGATCGATTCCACAAACGTCGTCGCCGGCGAGCGTTAATAGAGAGATCGGGAGAAAAGGATAGAGAGACAACGGCTCCCCTCTCTTCGAGGAGAAAAGCACCGAAGATGGAAGTGTGTTCGGTGTACAACGAGAACATGGCGAGGACGTCGCGAGGAAACACCGCGCAAGGAGACACGCACGAGGACCCGTTATCAATTCGCGACTGTGATTTCTAAGCTTAAGATTATTACCACACGTATCGTAAAAAAAAATAATCATCAGGAGATATTAACAAACAAAAACAACAAAAATCGTCCATTGTGATATTATGATATATAAACGAGGGTACGCGGAGGGGTATGTGGAGGGGTGGATAAGCACCCACGTGCGCTCTCACGGGGAACCGTCAACGGGCTGTTACAAGCATGAATGAATGAATCGCGTCGCGATGCAAGGCGCGATGGCGAGGAGTGCGGCACGCGACGCGAGTGTGTTCGATCGGGATAATAATGGTTGATCGCGGTGTTCGCGCGTCGAATCCGCGGACTGTGATACACTAATCTAAGACCCGTTATCCGATCTCTGATCAACGACTCATCGAGAGGGCGCCGGCTTAATTGCGCCTGCACAGGGTGCGCAGAGACGAGAAAAAGAGAAAGAGAGAGAGAGAGAGAAAGAGATCGAGACGGGATGACGAGTCACCGCCGATGCGGAATCTCGTTTGCCACTGTATCGTGATAAATCGTCAGGTGCGTATTTATTCAATGGAAAATACAGAGTGTTCGATAATAGGCGAAGTAGTGATAAGATAATATAAACATTGAACGATCAAAAAGGTTCGAAAAAGATCCACGGAAGACTCTTTTAGAAGGAAGAAAATTTTTAGAGATATAAACATTAAGAATCATCTCATAATAATTATAAAAATATAGAAATTGTAATAATAAAATTGATAAAAATTGATTTTAATTTGTTCGGAATTCATTACAATCAATTTTCCTTTATTAAAATTTAAATAAAAGTAAAATAAATGTTATGTTTATTTCCGTGAATTTGAATATATATATTAATATTTAAATAATTTGCTTAAAAATTATATGAGGCGAGCTTAATAAAATACATTGTACATCGCCCACGATCGAGCATTCTGTATTTCATTAAAATGCAGAGTTTATACATATATTAGCTTTATAGAAAATTGTACTGCTACAATACTAGTTTCATTCAGCAATTTGAATAAAATTTAATGCAAATTGGCTTATTTTTCTAAATTAATTCACCAGAGAAATATTGATAGAAGTTATATTTATATTGACGATATAGTTATGTCCTGATATAACTGAAAATAATATTTTAATAATTAACTGAGAGATATAGTGATTATATTTCAATTGACAGATTTATTTCTAAATTTATTGCCATATGAAATTTATGCTCGCATTTAAAAAGAAGTTGTTTACTAAGAGTTATATTTTTGATTTTAATATTATTATAAAAGTTTTTATTTTACATTATTCATTTTTAAAAAATCTTTTACTATAAAAATTATATATTTTAATTATTAAAATTTCTTATGTATAAAATACACATATTTTCTGCAAAACGTAAACGTACGTAACTTTTTTAAAAAATTATTGAATCTGTCCTATTTAATGAAATGGCGTCATTTTATATCTGTAATAATTTTAAATTTAAAAAAGCGTCATTTTATATCTGTAATAATTTTAAATTAATTTTTATTTTTCTAAAGCTGTTAAATCTTTAAATAATTCTCAACAAATTTAAATTTTCTAAACAAACTTATTATTTACCATTTTGATAGCAATTAAATCATATAATCTCGACTAATTTGATCATTAATTTTCAAAATATTTATTAAAACATGTACGAAATCGAACGTGGGATCGCAAATTCGTAAGTATCTCATAACTATTGATACTAAATTAGATTCGCATATTAAATAAATATTGCATAAAAGTAACGTAAGATGAGAATAAAATGACTTATTTCCATCAGCTTATATAATTCTTAAACGACTAGTCGGAATTGTCGAGTTTCTCGAAGTGAATGCATATCTTGAAGCGATACTAGACAGAATTTTCAAGAACGCGAGAAAAAAGTTTCAATTAAAAAGTTACGTAATCTAGAGTCAATTATAATAACTTCTATATAGTTACATGAAGTAAATAATTATAATAAATAAATTTGTAAATAAAAATAAGTAAGTATAATAAATATTTTAAAATTTTTAATAGTGTTTTCAGAAAAATTCAAATGATTCAAATCATATCCCTGATAAGCTCCGATTTTGTAACGGACTACTTTCACGATACTATAGTTAGCAGAATACAAGTGTAATAATGCGGCCTCATCGTACACCGCGACAGCTCGATACTTTATATGTGATTATTATAGTTAATCCGATATTCAATGCGCGAAATCCGATACACGCGTAGGTTGTAGCCTGGATGCAGAATATTTTAAAATCTGATTTTTGTCTCGCGGCGCAAAACATACCACGAAGATAAAAGTTTCCAGGAGAGTGCGGAGGGAATTTTCCAATAACGCGATACCCAACGGTATTTTTCAATTTAAAGTTTAACGAGGGCCACGGCCCACCATCTTTAATACGAGGGCTGAAATTTCTATCGGGTAGAAAAAGCGAAAAAGAGAGAGAGACCATAGTTTTGTGTGCTCCCTTTCGTCCAATACCAGCCAGAGGATAGCGACACTCTGCGAGATCCTCGATTTACTTGCCGCATTAATCAGGAAAATGGTTGGATGGTGAATCCTATTCAAGCCGATCGAAATAATACTCTTCCTTCTTCTCGATGCACTCGTTTTGATTACACGTCAGACAAGGAATATCGCAGCATTTCCATACGAGCCGATCCGGTAACGATTTTCGTATCGATAGAAGTAAACAAGTGGCGTACCTTCGACAAACTCCTTTATCAAGTTTGTCGCGCATTAAAATTCAACGCACACATATTTATTGCTTATTTCGCAAAGTGGCTGCGGTCAACTATACGCTCGATCGGTTTTCCACAGCACGTTGTTGTTAACTAGACAAAGTATCGTTAAACATTCGTTAACTGAGTAAATTTTGTAACATATTCGCCGTTATATACGTTCAAACATCGCTATTTTTTTCAATTTGTGGATATTATGTTCATATATTCATTCTTCGTTGCTAATATGCAATATGTTATTATAACACTCAATTAGTATAATGTATCATGATTCTAAATTACACATACGAGAGATCAAAGTAAATATGTGAGCAAAAATTATTTTTAAAGCAAAAAGAATTTTAATGCAAACTCGCATCATTAATACTAATTAAAAATCCAGAAAGAAAGTATACAGATTACGATAGAAAGACTTTCAATAAATTTTAAATTCTAATATTAAAAAAAAAATTGAGACTCATGCAAATAGCATTATCTTTCTAATGAAATAACTTGCGCTACACACACTGAATGATTTGGTCAAAATGAATAAAAAAAGCGTAATCTTAAATTATGTACGTGTTAAATTGCCTTTTTTAATCTCCATCCTCGGTATAATAAATCATCCCTCTCCATCCTCCTCGCTCCCGTATCATCTATTATTAGAGTTTTCTATTTTATGTGTTCCAGTAGCACACACGCACATACGCTCGCTGGAAGAAGCAGAAGAGTTCGACCGACGACTAGTCCGAGAGCGAACATTGATGAAATCGCGGTCGAAACACGCTCGGCGGGAGGGGGGAGTGTGAATAATTAACGATTATTAACGGAAAAGAAAGCGGGAAATAAGACAAAGACGCATACGTAAGCGAGGGGGACGGGGGGGCCGAGAAGAGCGAGCCACGTGAGCGGAGGTGAGGAAGTGCGAGAGGAACGTAGTGAGGTGAGGTGCGGTAACCGAGCCCAGTGTGTGTGTACCACCCCCTGGACACGGGGGGTGGCACAGAAACGCCGTCAGCGTGGGTGCCGGTGCCGCAGGGGCGCGCCTGGCCCGTCGGCTCGCCCGCAGATTAGCACGCCGACTAGCAGTTACCTCGGGCCCCTTCCGGCGTTCCGGCCTGGCGACCTCGGCGGGCCTCACATCGGCGGCGGTGGTCGTGGCGGCCCAGGGGGAGCCCCACGCTCCCCCAGCAGCTGCGCCACGCCGCATCACGCCGAACGGAAGTGCCAGCCCGATCTCGGGCTCGGCCACGATTACGGGCTTCACGGGCATCGGGGCGACGACGACAGCGGCAGCGACGACGACGAGGACGACGACAACGGCGACGACAACAACAACGACGACGACGACGACGACGAGCACCACCACCATCACCTTCACCACCACCACCACCACGAGCATCACCACCACGACTACCATCAGTCGTAACAAGAATAGAGCCATGTCCATGAGAAGTCTGCATCGGCGCGTCTCTCATCCGTAAGTTATGGTCCACACATTTATCGTTATGAAGCGGGCGGGACCTGGGGCACGCCCCGGGTTATTTCATCAGACGTTTCTATATTACCTGCCAGCCCCTACTCTCGCGTTGTGTGCAGACGCAGACGTTTTATACCCTGCTCGTCGTCCGGCCGAGGGCAGCGGGCGAGATCGCTAGTAGTTGGTCTTTAGCAGTCGGCGACGTTAACTCTTTCGGTGTGGATGATAATTATTCTAATAATATTCTAATAATATTCTAATAATATTATTATATACATACGCGAAGAGTGTGATAGGGAGGAGATATGTGAGCATTTACAATTTTGGAACAAGAAAACAGTTGATATCGAGAGATAGTCGGAAACATTTCATTTTTTATTTTTTAGAAAACTGCACAATTTAATTAATTTGTGTAGCACAAAATATTTAAGTATAATAATTTAATAATATTTAAAATGTCCTTTTTTATCAAATGGATGAAATATCTTTTTATATGACTCCTTTTAGTTTTGTGTTATTCATTATTCGTTATTTTTTTATTGCTCTTTATAAACAAAATATTTAAATTTTTTTAAACCATTTACTTCTGTTGCTCCTATGACTTTTATTTTTCGTATTTCCTGATATTCGCCAAGTCTGAATTAAATTCCTTTTCACTAATATTTTTCATTTATTATCTTATTAATGTTTTTCTTTGTTCCAAAAATTTCGTTTCATGCTTTTACTTTTCTTATCCGAGAACAATGCTTTATATTATGATTCTTAATTGGAGATTATTCTTTATCGAAAGAAATACATTTCTTAATATTTTTTAAATACCTTGTCTTGTTTAATAGCTAATAAATGATATTAATCATTGCTACGTTTCCGTATCGAAAGAGTTACAATAGACTAGTTTTAATTTTTAATTCAGATCGTATAATGCGAACGAGGAGCGATCTGGATTGTAGAGGGACAATCGTAATTTCTATTAGGGATTTGCATGGCGTGACGTTGATTTTTTGCGGCTTCAATGATTTGACAAGAGGGAGGGACTGAATTCAAAAGGATTAAAAGCAGATGATTTATGACACGATTAAAGAATTATATGACAGTTATGATCATAAGCATGAAATTTTCAAGCTTTCGGCTTTTGTGGGGAGATTTAAATTTATAAAAAATGAAATTATCGATCAATTTTCCTTCTGTAGCGTATCTTTTTTTTTAATGACATATTGCTGGGAGAGCTCAACACGTCCAAGTTCTAACAGTTTCCAACATGATCCGCTTATAACGGATCAAGATAATACCTTAAGAGACTAATGATAGAGACTACTTCATGCAAAATCAATTAATGGTCAGTAATTTTACGAAATAATAGAATTTCCTCATAAATGATAACGCGCAATCCCTTCAATACTATTAGTAAATTGATTCCTCTATTATATCGAGACGAAACCGCAGAAAGTCAACGTCAAGAATGTGTAGTGATTCACGAATGCGAATATTATGCAGGATTTAGATTAGCATATAAATAACATAAAATGAAGTAGCCACATAACTTCTACGAAACAATACCCAAATCTTATTATACATTTCACACAATACTCTTCAAAACTACTCCAATTTAGAATGTAGGCGTAGAATTATTTTTCAACTGTCGCGAAATAATAATAACATTGATGCGACGGTATCAATTGAAAAGGCAGCGATCTAAGCCTCCAAAGAACGCGGTAAAATGCATCCTCCTATCCTATTGAGACCTGCGAGCAAATGACGTCACCTCTGTTATCGAAAATCAAGTCGCTTCGAAAGCTTTCATGCGGTGCTCGTATCGCTAAACTTAGCTTCGCTCATGACCAGCAGTAAAACACAAGATTCCGATATCTGCGCGCAATTGAGAAACTTCGAATCTACGAACTGAGATCTCGTCGTGCAGATAACTTGTATCATAAAATAAGAACACATCGGAAATATTTCACGCTAAATTCGCATTCTTGATACTCGTCATAAAAGTTTTTGTTCGTATTTCTATAAATAGCCGTCGAAAATTTATTTTCAACGGCAATATTACGCGAATAAGAAACTCATAGCTCAGCTTATTACAGTCGTCAATTATAGATCGTCTAAAGTGGGCTCATATGCCGTTTCCATACTTGTATTTACTTATTTATTTATTTACTTAGCTCAGTATATATTCAATTAATAAACTATGAATTCGTGCAACAGACATGGTATTATTTTATGTATAGATACTTGTATCTACCTGTTGAGATTGAATTGTGGTAGTAGTAGAGTCATCGAGGAAAGAAAATTTCATTCTTGTCACTTTACTTCGCATCAGTCATAAATTTACTTACTGTTTGTCTTAAACTCAAATTTGAAATTTTATTAACTTTTTTTTTATTATTTTATTAACTTTTTTCATACATGTAGAAATGCGGGAAGACGCTTGTCTATTTTCGAATGTATATCGGTCAATCCTTTCTCCTTCAAGCTTCATCGTGCTTCATTCCTAAGCTCGACATACCATCGGGGAAATATTATTATACGTTGCGGGATGTTAGAGGAAGTACGTACACAACAAAGTAGTTTAATGAACGAAATTAAAACAGCAACACGCACGAACATCCCACAATGTGGAAAATATGGAGCACGTTAAATACGTTTCAACTACTGACGGCGGTCGTTTCTAACTTTAGAGATTAACGCGAAAGAACGTTAGGACGAAGAATCATTGTAAATATTTGTCGAATCAATATACCATTGTTATTTCAAACGATTGTGTACCAGTCTTAATCTCTCGATTTTAATTCATGACGTCGCAGAATGGAAAAGTTAAACCGAATCATACTACTTAATACTTTGCAAGAACTTTCAGGCTCTGTGTACCACGTTCTTAATACATACTTCAAAACTGTCGTTAATGATCTGCAAGTTCGCGCATTTCTTAGCTCGGATAACACCTTGGAGTTGTTAGAGGAGGGTGATCCACTGCTCAGACTACTTCGTTGAGTTAACCGCGCCTGAATTGAAGGGCATACTTGTGGAGATTCGCGTAAAAACGTAAAGTGGTTCGCGTGTAACCAATTAATCGCATAATCGATCGCGGAGAAGAAATTGCGTCGAAAAAATATATATGACGATGCAATAGTTTTCAACGATAAAATCAAGAGTCATTGTAAAATCGTGAGAAAAAGTTGCGTTTGTCAAGAATCCATAATTCTTTAAACTTTTAAACGTCGGGGTAGAGAAAAATCGACGATTCATGCAATTTCCTAGCACATAAAAGTCTGTCATATAACGTGGAAAAGATAAAAATGATTAAAAACAAGACAGCTGTCAAAATGACTCGAAACTTAGAAGAGCTACAATCGGTGTCGGAAATTATTCTGTCGAGCCGATATGTCGGGTCGCGATATAACGAAAGTTCTATCGAACTAAAGCGACTTTTTCAACGGAAAGCCATTTATGTGAAGTAAGTCGCAAGAATTGCATCCATATTATTTTACTCGCTTCTAACGTTATATATAACAACGGCTGACGTAGACGCTTAATTTATTATCTATCTACTATATACTACTTAGACCTATCTGCGATTATATAAAGTACTAAATATATAAAGCACTATATATGGTTATAAACTGTTATGTATACATATATAGCACTAGATATTTGCCTATTACTATATAAAAGGCTATATAAAACACGTTGGTACTTATCTACAACTATATCAAGTTCGTTAAATAACGATGGTTATCAATGTTATCATTGAAAAATTTTTATCACGCTCATCTCACTGTCGTAATTATCGCGATTGACCGTACATGACAAAGGAAATATGCTTTAACGCACTTCGAAAGAGCTTTTTTTCTTTCTTTTTTTTTTTTGCAAACTGTTCACAGGGATCGATATGCAATGTCGACCATGTGTAGGGAGCATTACGGCGATGCGATGTTCGTGTATCCAAGCGAAGCGGAAGAGAGGCACATATATCTGTAAATCGGTTTCGAAGTTGCGAATCGTCAACTATTGTTTCTGTCTGTGACGTAACTTTGTCACAGAGAAAATCAATTAATTCGTGACCCTGTCCACAGCCGGAGTCATTTCCCGCAGTCCCACACGCGAATAAATCTTACAACGATTGATAGTCGATATATATCGCGCATGGTCGATCGAATGACTCGTAGGCAACGTAACCGCGATTATAACGCGATAAATTAACATTGCAATCGATTAACATGTAATGCGAACGACAGATTCTTCTCTGATCAATTTCCTAACCCGACTCGTGTAATAATTATCAATTCATGTTATGAGAATCGACATTACTATCGATTGTTAACGTTGATTATTATCAGTGATGATTCGAAAAAATTCGAACATGAAATGTTCCAATATTTTGCATCAGGCTATTTTTATATTTTTTTTTCATATTCCATTTCAATATTTGGAATATTGAAAGAATCATATATTTTCGAGCTAAGGAAGTCAGGATTATCTGAATAATACGATTATTCGTATATATTTTCAGCTTTGCTTCATAACAATGATGCTGACGAGCAAAGCTTTGTTTGCCGTTTAAAAAACGCTGTGATTTTCTTTCCTGGAAGCAATTGTTCGCCAATCTGATATATATCGCACTCTTGATTCAAATCTCGCAGCTGTTGAACTGTCATCGTTCTCTTTGTTTGTCGACCCTGTTTCTGCCTCACCCGGCAAGACAATCTTTGTAAAACGTGCAAAATTCTTTGAATAATCTCACACTTGTAAATCTTTATCTATCGAGAGCAACGTTAAGAATGTATATTGTATATTCTAATCTTCAGAGAAAATGTATAAGGTTCTGTATTTTTAGTGGAAGCGTTGAATGCGACTTTGGCGGTGACATGCTCATTTTTCAGAATTAAATAATGCCATTTCAAAATTAATTCACGAAGTTGAGCAAAGAAAGAAAGAAAACTTCAGTTGTTAATATTATTAAGAATATTATTGATATTGAAAATTTAAATCCAAATAAT